TTCTAGAGAATCCATTGGTGCTTTAATAAGCAGACAATGCTGTGTCTTTAGTGATGGAGTTAGAGGACACAGTGCCAGCCTAAATTCCCTCGTTCTGGGTTTGATACTACGTGTTCTTGGAGTGAGCAGGGGTAAAAGGTTGTGTTGGGGAGTGAATACATCAGAGAATGTGGTTAATGGTTTTCTAGAGCTGTGTGTTTGAATTGTTATCAGACATCCATGAGAGCACAATGACTGCCCTGTGCCCAGGTAGGGATCTCCCCTGGATTTCTGCGATGTAATTTTGGAGGCAGAGGGGGAAATATCCACCCAATGTAAGGGATTTATATGAAGTCCAAGTCTCTTTTTTCCCTCAAACCTTCAGTCGTGGTCACTCACTGAACTTAAAGTAAAAAGCAGCCAGCAGTTATCTTGTTATTCCTTCCCTGTATCAGTGGAGCCTGAAGCTGCTGGTATTTAGTCTTTTTGGAGAGTCTCTGCTGGCAGGGATGGGAAGGATAATGTTCTGTACGTGTCCAGCGTGTTGCCGTTATTCCCAAAAAGTTCTCTGGACAGCAACAAGGGCTGACTCAGGCCTCACTGTGTTTTGCAGAACACTGGAGAGTCATGTTTGCTTGGGAACATGTCTAGATCCCATGTGAAACCATGATCCGTAGAGACCCTCCACAGACTCCATAGGAGCTGACCTCCACAGGAGTGTCCCTTCCTGAAGGACGCATTCCTGGGGTGTTGGGTGGGAGCATCAATTTCCAGCTCATCAGTAACATCACCAAATTACCAGCTCTATTGGTGGGGTTGTTCTTTAGGATGCCAGACCACAGGAATGTGAGATCTGAGCAGCACGTTTGTGTCCTGGGGTCTATGTCTGCATTCCGAGAGGGTTTTATCAATCCTTTTTTTGCTATTTTCTTTGGGGTTAAGGGCAGGAAGGATGGTTGTGATGGGGCTGGAGCTCAGTTTCCATTACATCCTCATCTACAAACGCAGCTTAAATGTCAGAGAACAGCATCTTCTCCATGCTGTTTGTCTGGGTCCTGGTTAGCACCCAGACATAATGACCCCAAAAATAGGTTGGTGAGATTCTTTACTAATCTTTGGGGTGGGTGTTTTGAACAAGGGTGTAAACCAGGCTTAGTTTTTGGGGATATAAATAAGTTTGTTTGGGAACCGAGAGCTGGGAGAGCCTCCTCAGATGATTAATAACTGGTTTTGTAGGCAGCGTGATGTCCTTGGGTGGAAAATCCAGTTGTCTCTCTGGTGAGCTCGTGCCTTTGGGTTGTTGTAGTGCTTCTGGCACTTGCCCTCTAAGTCAGCTCCTAATTTTATCTCGTTACCCACACAGCTTGGTGACAATGTGACACAGCAGTGGAAAGGAGTGACATCAGCAGAGGGATGGATCCGTGCTGAGCAGCAGCAGGGATTTGATTTTAAGTAAAAATAAACCATGCTAAGGTGTTTCTGCTTTTAAATTCATGCAGTGTGAGCCTTGCTGTGAGCTGTGAGGCTGCTCACGTCTGGGCTGGCTCTGCAGGTGGTGTTCAAACACCTCCATACCTACAATTCCAAACATCCTAGTAGTAAACACCGACAGTTTCCCGGAAAATATGGGGTCAGTCCTTGAATTTAAAAGAAAACATAACTCAGACATGCCAGGAGGGGTGTGTGAGGTGAGGAGCTGCTTTTTGACTGTCCACTTTAAACACAGAGGAACACTTTACCTACCCAAAAGTTCGGTGGGTATCTGGAGGCAGCTGGAATCCCTTCAGCAGCGCCAGGAATTCTGAGGATTGTGCAGGACTATCTGTTGTTTGGATGGGGTAGGAGTGATACATGTGTGTTTGGTGTGAATGGTTGTTCTATGTTATTCTGCCAAGATTTCTACATGTGGAGGAAGCCTTGTGTTTCAGAGAACACAGTGGTTCTAAAAGCTGCTGGGGTTAGAACTCCGGGAATATTTTAGCTGCCCCTTACTTTGCTCCTTGTATCAGCAATAGTGTGGCAGCAGAACCAGGGAAGTGACTGTCCCTCTGTGCTGGCACTGCTGAGGCACTTCCAGTCCTGGGCCCCTCATGACAGAAAAAACATTGAGGGTTGGAGTTTGTCCAGAGAAGGGAATGGAGCTGGAGAACCTGTGAGGAGCAGCTGAGGGAGCTGGCAGGGCTTAACCTGGAGAAAAGGAGGCTCGGGGGGCACCTTCTCACTCTCTACAACTCCTTGACAGGAGGTGCAGCCAGGTGGGGGTCAGGCTCTGCTCCCAGGGAGCAAGGGACAGGACAAGAGGAAACAGCCTCCAGCTGTGCCAGGGGATGTTCTGGTTGGACATCAGGAGGAATTTCTTCAAGGAAAGGCATTGGAAGGGGCTATCCAGGAAGGTGGTGGAATCACCATCCCTGGAGGTGTTCGAGGAAGGACTGGATGTGGCACTTAATATTCTGGTCTAGTTGACAAGGTGGTGGTCAGTCACAGGTTGGACTCTATGATCTTGGAGGGATCTTCCAACCTTAGTGATTCTGTGAGATCCTTGGTGAGGAGCTCCCCAAGCACGGAGGAACTGCTGAGTCTATTTGCAGTGGTTTATGATCCAGGACCACATGCATTCGCTTCATGATCACTGGCAGTTGTAGGGGATCAAAGACAAAAATACCAAGTATTTTGCAGAAAGGTGTCTGCACAGGAGGAGGAAGGAGCAAAATAGACTGTAAAGGGCTCATGATGATTTTGAAGGATTCCTTGGAATAAGCTTTTTTGTTGAACAGATTAAAGCACTTTATTTTAGCTCTGATCAGGGAAGCTGCAGGTTGTGGCGTCAGAGGAAGTACAGAGCGTGTGAGGGTGTGAGAGCTGTCCAGCAGTGCTCAGAGTCAGTGTGACAGTCCCATTAATCACCATGTTTTTCGGGTGCTGAGGTGGAATGGACACTGTAATTAAAAGATCTTGCAGTCCAACAGACGAACTGCAACTTCAGCCCTAAGGCTGACCTGCAAAGCCACCAGGAATGTAGAAACGTGACTTTTGTCAAAGCCATATCTGCTTTGCTGGGCAGGAGGAAGCAGGACAGAGCCTTCCTCATGGCTACCCAGTGGCTTGTCACCTTGCAGTGCCCCATGGCCCCAGTTGAGGGCTCAGCACTGTGGTTCCGACTCACAGCTGCTTTGCAGTCACTGTACAGCATAGAGCACAAAGTGACATGAGCTGAGATTTTCTGGAGTGTGCATTCCCCACCTTTCACCCTGTTCTTATGCCAGCGTCTCTCTTCCAAAATATTTAGAAGGGATATTTAAAGAAGCTTTCTTCCAGCCCACTGCTTCCAGGAGGCCTTGGGAGTCGTCGTTAACTCTTTGAGTCTGAAAAAGTGGTTTAAAGACTCTTGTGTAGCAGGATGTCACCTTGTCCGGCACAGTGATGAAGCTGATCCCTTCCCCTTGGTTTGACTTCCATTGTTCGCTGCCAGCTGCTCTACAGCATCTCCAGCCTCACCTCATCCTTTCACCTCCTCTCATCCTCATAATCCTCCAAGATACCTGTTTCCGTGCTGCCTGTTTCTCTCTCTTTGAGGGCAGGAGGCAGCTGATACACATTTTTCTCCCTCCTGATCAGCCCTGGGGTGGAATTTTTCTCCCACTCCCCTTGAAGAAGAAGGAAACTGCAAGTGTTTGCCCTCCACGGGGCTCTAGCTGTGACCTTGCCTCCAGCTCAGCATTGCATGAAGCCTGTGACTGGTTTTGTCCTTACAACTCACCCATTGCCTCCCAGGACAGTTTGGTAGGAAATTCAACCTCCCACCCACCTTTTATCTTCCCAAAATATTCCCTGCTAGCTGGGGACTCCCATGGGCTGCTGGCCTTTGTAGCAGCATGACCAAGAGCAAACACTGTGGTTTGGCATCCTGTAGTGACTTGTGTTCATTCCCTGCTTACGGGGGCACCAGGGAATTACTGTGCAAACTAGTTTCTTTGCTGCGTCGTGTCTTGCTGTGGTTTGTGACAGCAGGGAAGGCTCTGCTGGCACTGAGCTTTCAGCTGGGTAAGCAAACGGGCCTGAAAAGTAGAGCAGCCGCGTCCTGCCAGAAGCTTGGAATTTTCTTCAGTATTGCCAATTATTGGCTGGCAAAACTAGGACACACTCAGGTGGTGTTTTTCCTTCTTCACTGATGGCTAAATAAAACACATTGCTGTTTAGGAGCTGCTTTTATCAGAGCTGTTGTGAGGATCTAAAAATACCACCGAGTTCAGGGCAGGTTCCCTGGAGAAGGATTGAATCCAGGCTTTATTTTCATCTTTAGCCAAGTTTCTCTGCGTAATTCCTCCAATTGCAACACCTGAACACCTCTGCTGAGGTAGATGCAAGTCTTGGACAGAGGTTGACACGCACTCTGGGATGATTCACACATCTTCCT